TCAAATTGAGACGTTTCGTCTTTATTCTAAAGACATCATCAGTCAACTGATGCACAAAAAATAACTTCTAACATAGAAACAGACAATAAAACACGTGTAGAACATAAAATATTTTCCTTTTGTTTTTTACTCTCCTTCTAGATCATATATAGTATGATTCATCTCAAAAAACATTCACCATAAAAGTCTTTTGGGAATATATAGTTCTTATTCCCTTTTTTGTATGAATGTCCATGAGTACTCTCTTTTATCTCTCTCTTTAATTTATGAGATTCTACAGCGAGTATTCCTGAATTCCAATTAGTTCTATGTCCACTTGCCAACCCATGAACGGCTATCCTTGAGAAACCTTGCCCATAAAATGCTTGCTGATGTTCTTCTTTTCTTTTCTTCTCTCCTCTCGCCGTCTGGTATTAAAACAGCCACAACAGTCATACTTATACACTACTCTATTCTCATTGATCGTGTTCTTATACGTTCGTCCAAACACCGAAGAGAGAGTATATCTTGCTTTAAAGCCGAAAGTCACCATTTTCATCGGGTGAGAAAGAAGCTTTTTCAATTGATTTGCCAGGATTAATGAGCGTTCTCCATAATAAGGCATAGAGAAATAGTACCGTTTAAGATTAGGCTGAATAGGTTTTTGTACAGTCTTGTACAGTTTGTACAGTCTTGTTGTTTTTGTACATATCTTTCTCACCCGATGAAAATGGTGACTTTCGGCTTTCTACACGTGTTTTATTGTCTGTTTCTATGTTAGAAGTTATTTTTTGTGCATCAGTTGACTGATGATGTCTTTAGAATAAAGACGAAACGTCTCAATTTGAAATGGTCATTTCAACATGTAAAAAGGTGATTTTAATCTTGATTTTTGCCATAAAATGTTTCACCTTAAACAAGGAATCAATCCTTAACTCATTTTACTGTTCTATCCTTATTGTACATGGAGACATTTTATCAAAAGTTAGATTCTCATATACAAAACCTCTCTGAGCGATATCGTTCAAAGTACACAATAAGACAAGAAACGTATGATGATATGCTAACAGTTTTGAAATACAGTAAAGCTAATTTACAGTTTAACACAGTTTAAATTTTGGATTAAAAAGAATTTTAAATTAGTGAAAATTAAAAGAGTACAAAGTAGGAGATATTGTTGGTTTGAAAATAGATAAAGTTGATCGTTCAAATGTTACGTCCACAGTTTTACCATGTAAAGTTGTTTCTATTCAATCCACAACAAATGGTACTACAGATGGAATTATGTATAAACTATGTACGACAGCTAGTGTTATTTCAACAGGGCACAGTAGCGAAGATTTATTAAATCTGACAGCATGTAATTTTTCTGATTTACGTTTAATTAATCCAAGCAATTTACCACAATTAACTTTCATACAAGCATGTAAAGAGTATGCAAATCTAGGTATTTTAAGTTGTAATTGCAAATCAACGTGTTCAACCAAAGCTTGTCCATGTAAATCTAAAGGTGTTTTATGTTGTACAAAGTGTCATTCAAAGAAAAAATGTCGATGTTTGAATATTTAAATTTTAATAAAGTATCAATTAAATTATTAATTATTATTTATTAATTAAATAAACTATCAATATCAGTATGTTAAATATCAATCAAACACTCTTTAGGGGAATTTAAAATTGCCCTATAGGGGAAGTCAAAATTTTGATTTCAACTGGCATTCTTTCAGGAGAACTCAAAATTTTAATTTCCCTTAGGGGAATTTTAAATCGCCCTAGATTTTGAGTTCCACTGCAACATATATAAATGAACAAAGAAAGAGATGCATATGGAATAGGGTAGCATGTCTAGAGATAGCTAGGCCTGACACTTTCCCCGTTTGAGAAAGATTGAAACACCAATTGTAAAAGATAAGAACAAAAAAAAACTTAAAATCATCATCAAGGTCGTTTCCAAACTGACCCAATTTGCCGTTGAGGACAATGTTGCTGCTGATCAGGCAGTTGTAGAGTTCTAGGCGAATATTGTAGATGTGGAGATGTTTGTCGTGGACCATTTAATTGACGATAGTGTTCAGGTGTAAATAAAAACGAGGGATTAAACTCTTCTCGACTTTCTTCGTTTTTTAAACCAATACATAAGCGATTATCTTTAATGACAATTCTTCGATATTTCAAGTTCAAACAATGGAGAATGCGTCGAACTTGTGTTGGATGAAATTGTGAATCAATTGTTTTAACAAGTTCATATTTAAAATCAGTCTTTTGATGACGTTTCGATGCTTTCCTGTTAGAATTCAGACGAGATTTCTCTCTACGATGTCGTGGTTTTCGTCGTAATCGTTTCGGTCGTGTTGACACTTGTCTTGTTCCACCGTGTGAAGGTAGAACAGATACCAGAGGTTCATCTACATGAACCATCTGACACATTTTCATTTCGGTTGTTGAAACTGACTCGCAAACTAATGTGGATATTCGTTGTTCAAGTTGTAGTTTCGCTTCAGGTGGATTTTCAAAGTCCATCAACTAGGTGTTGGAGCAAAATTGACCGTGGAAACTTTGCGACGATTATTTCGTTGTTTATATCGAGCTCGTTCACGAGTAATAGCCAAAAGTGCCAACACGTCGTTGATTGCATATTGTTGTAAATCCCGGCGTATATGGCGTTGATCATCTCTGATACAACGACCTGGAAATTCCCATGTGCCTAGTTCTCGATCAATACCGCCTTCTCAATCATTTCGTGTCAGTTTCTTCGTTCAGAAACTGGTTAAATTCGTATTTAATGGCTTTTTGGAGAGACCATGCTGTGACATTTTTCGGATCTTTGTAGGGACGGAATTGACAGGTACATGCAATGCGGTCAGCATGTAGATCAATATCATCTACATCTGATATCCAGCTACGAGTGGGCTACTGCAATGGGATTCATAATTCTGGAATAAGTTCAATCATAATACCAATCTTAATTTGCTAACAAAATCATCATTATTAGTTATGACGGCCGTGCATAAATAACAATAATCTATGACATAAACTTTGACATTATTGGGGCGTTCTTTTCAGGCAGCCAATTCAATCATTTTCTTGATTTGCAAATAGAGACAGAATAACTGAACTGCTAATTGATCAAAATAATGGAAGTGGTGATTTCCAGTTGTTATTCAAAGGCTGTGTGTTGATAGCGTTAAAATAAGATTTGTGATCTTTAATTTCGACAAATAATAAATGAATGCTTGTATTTCGAACAGAAACGCTGCTGGCATGTTCAAATTAATGTTGACGTGTCTCAAGCACGAGTTTTAGATCGTTGACATGGACTTGTGACTCTGCCTGAGTTTCAATATCATTAATCCAATAAACAGGATGTTGACAAGCAATAATTCTGCATGGAACTTTTGAGTATTTGTCGTCGAGTTTGGGATTTTGGACCATAATATCTGTAACACTAATTGGCCAACTGAATAATGCGGATCTGGACGTTTAGCATCCTAAAGTTGCTTTGACCTTTCCTGTTGGCGGGTCATATTTCGACGAGCATATTCATGATAAATTTTTCTTCAGTTGCTGATAATAATCATTAGGTTTGGTGAAAATCACTTGTTTTGGTGGTTCATCCGGCGGTAATTTTGGCTTTTGTTCATGTTGCAATTGAAATGAAGAATAACCTGTGGTACCATGCTGTCCCGTATTATATGCGAAAACCATCGAAGGGAGAAATGAATTCCAGTTATTGAATTCTGTGTCTTGTAATTTGGCTAGTTGTGGAATGAAGGTCTCATTAAATCTTTCAATCATATCATTTGTGTGTGGATGATATGTTGTTGAATAAATGTGGTGGTGTCCAAGCAAATAGCCATCGCTTCCATCAGCTGGTTCTTTAAATGATTGCCCTGATCTGACAAAGTCGTTGTAGGAACACCATGTTTACATACGTATTCGTTATAAATCGTTTCAGCTGTTGTTTCGGCTTTGCAGTCAGGAAGAGCCACTACGGTAACCCATCTTGTGAAGAGATCCGTGATGCATAAAACGTATCGATTTCGTTTGGCGTTCTTGAGAATGGACCGCAAAAATCAATGCCAATAACTTGAAATGGTCCATGAGGTGGTGGAATTGGTTTGAGATGCCTTGGTCGGTTTTGCCGATTATAATTGTTGTTGTTGACATGTAAGACATGCTTTGATGTAACCCTCTGTCGAATGGTACATATCGGGTCACCAATACTGAAACATCATCTTGCAGTACGTACGTTTTGAAGAAAAATGACCCACTGTAGACTGATCGTGATATGCACGAAAAGCTGGTAATATCATCGAAGATGGTAAATAGATTAATTTGGATTTTGTTGCTCCTCGTTTTTTGGTTGCTAACTTATAAAGAATACCGTCTTGAAACACATAAGGATGTTTGGTCGGATTAGCGCGAACTTCTTCAATTTTATTTTCAAATTTTTGGTCGTTGGCTTGTTCTTCGTTCAATCTGGTAATATCGAAATGAGAGACAAATTTCTGGGGTGCATTCTTGACCGTTGACGCTGAAGGATGTACTGGAATGGATTGCTGATTCGTGGATGCGTCTAGCTTTGATTTGGATCTTGTGGTTACACCGACCATCCCGAATACAGGAGGACGATCTTGACTGACTTCCAAACTATAACCGAAATGCATTATTTCTTTTTCGGAAATTGGATGTCGTAACATGAAATCTGGCAGACAATTGTAACGGCCTGTAATATGTATTACTTGTTCGATATTGTACTCCTAAAGAAGCAGAGCAATTCATTCTATCCTTTTATTGTTGACTTTCTTTTCCATCATGTGACATAATGGACAGTGATCTGTATATATAATAGTACTGCGTCCCAAAATATACGATCTCATTCTTTCAAAACATTTCCAGATCGTAAGAGCTTCTTTCTCAATCGTTTTGTAATTTTTCTCCGCCTTGTTTACCAATTGTGAATCATAGCATAAATTATGGGGTTCGCCATTGATTTCTTGTTGAAGAACACCGCCAATTCCGTAATCTGAAGCGTCTGTCGACAGGATTATCGGCCTATTATCATCAGGAAATTTTAATAACAATGGAGCGGTTGTTAGCATTTTTTTTAATTCGTAGAATGCTCTTTATATAGAAAGCGCTACACAAGAGTTCACTGAAGTTAAGATACATTGTATGTTGGATTTCGAAATATAAAGTGTTCGATTAACTTTTTAAAAACCCTCCTGATTTTTTGCTCAAACTGGATAATCTTTCGCTACTCGAAAAAACCGAAAACGATGTTTCCTTAAAACAAATGCGTTTAGGAAGAAACCCTTCTGATTTCTGCCAGAGCTAGAAAACCCTTCGACTCTTTCTAAAAAACCACATTTTTAGTTTTTTGGTCAAACAGAAAAACTCTTTTGGTCTTTAAATACGCTTTTTAGAGTGATGAAAAAGCCCGTAGTTTCCGAGGGCTTTCACAAAGTACTTCTTAGCAGTAAAAGCAAGTCTTTCCATCATTGAGAAGTACTTCTGAAAGTAGATGGCAAATGAGAAATTTTCAAAACACTTGCCAAATGTTCCAAGTACCTAGCAAGTAATCAAGTAATAGACTTACTTTATCAACTGTTTTTGAAACTTACAGAAATAGTAGATGTAGTCTCAAAATTGAACTTGAACGTGATTTAGGATCAGCATAGTGATCGAAGAACATTACTCCCATAGACAAATATCATACGTTTGACTTATCAGACACATTATTCTGTCATTTTTATCCAGTAAATACTTTGATGCAGTCAAAATCAAAATTAAAACAAAACAAAAAAAACATCTGTATATATTTTAGAATTTTTGTCCTGTTCCCTATCGAGTGATAACTAACTTATGTGGAAACGGAGCAATAAAACGAACACTGATAACCAGTTTTCATTTTTTTTCTTGTGCACTACGTGCTCTCCTTTCTTCCCGGTTTTTATCTTAATTATAGAACCCTCGATTCTTAAGAGTTCGTTGTTGACCCAATGTTTTATCTTAGAGTATGAAAACTTACTTTGAATGAAATAATTGTAGCATATGCTCTCATACGGCTTATGAACCATGTTTTTGTTCGGTGAGAGATGAACGACAGATCTGTAATGATAAGAGTTGGTTTGCGGCATAAAGCAGTTTCATTTTTTCGTTTTCTGCGCTCTTTATCTCCTTAGGAAGCAACACTTATCGATGGATATTAACAGGTTCCAATGCCAAAAAATAATTAGAATTGACTGACCAATCGAAACAAAAGTTCTTGCCAAAACAGAGGCCGTTATGAAATCGGATACACCTGTAAAATGTAACTTTTTGTTTAAAATTTTTATTGAATTTGAAAATTAGATTATATGGGCATAAAAATGTTCACAGAATAAGCACCAGAACGTTTCTTAGAAAATCAAAATAATAATTTTGACATATAAACGGCTTGTCGCAGCGTGACACTGTGACATAGTAATTTGAGCTTTTCTTTAAAAGTGTATGAGCTAGCAACTTTGTTCTTGCGCCATTCGACGCAGCTCGTCATGCTCTACTTTTGGTATAAAAATGAAGGTATGTAGTTAAAGACTCGAATTTTTAGAACCATTTT